CTCTCTCTCTCTCTCTCTCTCTCTCTCTCTCTCTCTCTCTCTCTCACACACACACACACACACACACACACACACACACACACACACACACAATTGCGCAGACTACACACCCAACCCCAACTGAAAGATGACAAGTTAAATGAGCACACAATATCATTATCCCCTAATGACACACAAAAGATGACTCGGTGAGAAACACACAATTAATGAAAAAGAGCAGCATTACGATCATTCCAAAGCGCGAGAAAGGGGCAAACCTCCGCCAGAGACACGGAAAAAAACAGCGAAGCACAGATGTATTATCTAATCCGTACCTTTCTGGGACATCAACAAATTCACACTCTCCACAATATCCAGGAAGACCTGCAACAGAGCAAGAGGACGATGACCAAAATATTAGCAAATGGGCGATGCTAGCGAGACGAATACAGTCAAAACGCAGCACAGACAAGCAGTTCTCACCAAACGCAACTCGCACCATAGCCACAGAGGGTTAAGCTTCTGCCCCACTGAACACTGGTTGTCCCAGCCTAACTTAAACCACCAGTACTTCCTAAAGTTGTGCCCGTTAGCACGCCACAATTTTAGGAAACGTACGGGCCGCTACGGGAGCGCCCAAATTCATCCAATTAGAAACGTTTCTACTCTATTTTTTTCAGCGGCCGATAGCTGGGCCAAGTACTTGTGGTTTAATCTAAAACCTCATGTGACCCTGGTGCCTAGGCTCTTCCATGGCACAGAAGGCACTCTTCCCATCCCAGTACCACACCGGAAAGGCTGTTTGTGCACATTCAGGATGATGATGCATTGCCCTTCGGGACATCCATTAAAATTGGAACGATGCAGAGAAGATTAGCATGGCCCCTGTGCAATGATGACACGCATAAATCGAGAAATGGTCCAATTAAAAAAAAAAAAAAAAAAAAAAAAAAGGAATGATGATGCATTGTGTTCAGGTGAAGATGGCAAGACAGGTTCGTGGGCAGCCAGTCATACCCTGAACAGGCTGTCTATTCCCTGATGCCATAGAGCACAAAGTGGGGCAAAGTTTTGATTTCCTGCACGATAGGGAACATAGAGCCCCAGTACCGGCCAGACCCCACCCATGCTATGTTTGTGCGGACCAAGCGCGCACCTGTCTGCTTTCAGGGATAGGTCCTTTCTTCGTCAGGATAAAGAGAGCACCAGTGGGGCCTGATCTCACTGACGTGGTCGCTTTCACGGCTAGGTTCATGCCTCCTGAGCATAAAACTAGAACCAACCAGTGGAGCCTGGCCCTGTCATCGTTGAGCGCCAGACCCGACCACCAACACGATGCACAGTTTCTCAGACGCAACGACAAAACCTCTGCTGAACCAAGTGCACCACCCGTGGGACTTGCAACGCAACGGAAAGCTGATTGCAAAGCACTCAACTCAGAGCATACTCACCCTAGGACTTTTCTAGTTGCCTCTCACCACAGTTGCTGCCAGACGTGGATGCATCTGACAGCAATTACGTCCAGATATCAGTCGAAATCGTCTGGCTGTGAGTATGCCCTCAGTTATAAAAGTTTTATGTCAACCAACTGATTTCTTTGCGACGAATAGCCTCGACGAATGCAGAACACACACACTGAGGCCAGCAATTGCAAGATCAGGATGCAGCAAGATCTAGGGCCTCCAATTTTTCTTTTCTTTTTTTTTTTCTTTTTCTTTTCTTTTCTTTTTCTTTTCCTTTTTTTTATGCTAGATTGAAGGGGTGGCAAAACTTTCCTTGCTCGGAAAAAAATAATAGTAATAATAATTAATAATAATTATTAATAATATAGTGTAATGCAAGGAATATGAGTGTGAACGATATACAGAAAACCAAGTTGCGAAATCACACAGATGTCCAGATAGTCGTATCCAAGCAGAGAGTACAAAATGCACCGAGAAACCATCCATATGAGCAATACAATGAAGTAATGAGCAAATGTCCAAGCCCGTAGGCCACACCAACACAGTACCCAGAGTCGCTCCTCGCTGACTGGCGCCCAGCGCCCAGCGCCCAGCCTACTCTACCCCACTAGCCTACCTACATCTGGTTCACGCAACAGGCTCACTTCGACACTCGAAGACCAATGTACATGACTGTCAACACCATAGCCGACCTCTCTTCATGCACCAGGTACGTATCTCGTCACCCTCAATCAGACCTTGATTACCCCACACTCGCCTCCTTCCCTGAAGACCACCAGATCACCTGCTGTAACCCCTGGCGCCCAGCAGCCCGGCTATGGCCGCCTGCGCCCCGCTGCCCTGCAGCGCCCCACTTCCCCTCTACGCACCCCGTCAGCGCCCTTGGCAGCAGCGCAGCATCCAGCGAGAGCGCAGCAGCACTTCCGCATTGCCAGCACTGGCCAGAATGCCTGGCCTGGGCTGCCTCCCTCCTTTTGTGGAAGTGGCAGCCTCCTGGAGGCTGCGTGTGGCCTGGCTGGAAGCTTCCAGTAGCTTCCGGTTGGGTCCCAGCCCCTGCGCCCAGGCCCGAGAGTACAGTTGAGGGTCTGGGCCCTTTGCAGTTAGGCACGGCCTGAGTCTCCGGACTTGGGCTGTTTTCTGCATCTGTGCAGGGCTCCCCGGCAGGTGCATCGACACTACTGCTTTTGCCAAGGCGGAAGGCCTGCTCTCCAATGTATCGGCCCTGCTTTGTGTATGTGTGCCCAGGCGCAACTGTCAAGGCCTGGGCCAACTGTATGACGCAGCATTGTGAAGCTCACTCATCTGCCCAACCAACTGGCGTGCTGCGAGAGCCTGAATACCCACATATGGAAATGTCGAACTTTGCCTGTGACGAATATTCAGGCCCGCCTTCACTTAGGGCAGGCACTTGCCTTGCTGGGGGCCTTACCCAGAACAATGTGATGTCTGATAGGGCCCCTTGAGGGCTTGTTCCTCACAGTAATTAGAAGGAGAAAAAAAAATTGGTCACTGTCTACATAATTTATGAAAACGCAGCTCTGGTGCGTATTACTCCAGGACAGAAGTTATGGGGAAAAAAAACACAAAAAGGCATGAGAGCTTCCGTTTTGTTTTCCTTAACCGCAAGTACACCGTCCACGCAAACTTCAAAATCGAAAATGAGTCATCCCGAAAAGTTCAGATGAACGAAGCTACCGGACCAAAATGGCTGGCGTCCACATCCAAAAGAAAAAGAAAACGTCGCGCTAGCGCTTCGGCAAAGCTTGGCGGGCAGCACTTTTCCGCCGCAGCAAAAAAAGGCTAGGATGTACAAGTGGTTCAAGACTAACAAACTTTCGCACCTAAAACTTCTCAAGGACTTTCTTTTATCAAAGACTAAGGAACCTTCCCATTTGTGACACCCAAGGCATTTATTTTCTCTCCTTTCTTCGAAAAGGAACGAGACAAAAACACGACCAGAATCAGTGCTTTCTCTCACCTGTGACACACCACTTTCATGGTCTTCTAGCGAAACAAACAACAATGAAAGAAAAAGAACAAATGGTAACAAAAACCGTAAACACCCACAAACAAACGGTTCCTGAAAATTCGATATGCCAGGATAGAAATACCTCGTTCTTTTTGTAGACGAGGCCTTCTCGACGCCATCCAACCGCACCCGTGACCTGCAGTGTCGCATTTGCCGGAGGCCGGGCATCCTTCACCTGTGGAGGACAAAGCAAACAGTTAGTTAAGAAGTCAAGACAGTTGTTCTTCATGATGTAGCAATCACTCTCCGAATATAAAGTTTGTTTTGCATGAGCTGGTCCAGCCAGTTTCCTTCTCCCTCTACCCTGCCCTCCGGCCCAAGACCCCCTTTTCCCCTACCAGCTCTCTCTCGTCTCCACACACACACAAGACCTCTCTCTCTCTCTCTCTCTCTCTCTCTCTCTCTCTCTCTCTCTCTCTCTCTCTCTCTCTCTCTCTCTCTCTCTCTCTCTCTC